CGGACTAGGAATGCTTCTCAAAAGAAGTACAAACATAATCGCGATGCTTATTATCATTAATATTATTACTATTATTCAGCTATATCAATTCCAAAATCTGAAGCGCTACCTAATTTTCTGAAATATGACTACTTCATAGAAGGCTAGACGTCATGAAATAATGGGCAAAATTATCGATATTATTGAGGGAGAATTTTGAAGCCCTTGATTACCTGTATATACAGTACAATCGTCCTCTGTAACATGGTACAGGAATGAAATGTGTCCCTCTTCATGCTGTTGCATGAAAAGGGACGAGGATAAACAGCTGCTTTTCTTTCTTCTTGGAGTTCAGGCGCTGAGCAGCACTCCACAGCTGTTAAACTCGAGGAGTTTCTTAGAATAATTTTGATTGATCACATAAACTAAAATGTCATGGTAACTTTTTGCGTGAGCTGGAGATCAATCACGACACGGAACCTATTAAGCCGTTCCCAATTGTGACCTTTTATGCTGCAGCTTCAATGTGTGTGCTCATATGTTCCACGTGTCATGCCGGGCTCCAAGTTCTCCTTGATGGAAATACTCAAGTTTCATAGCGGAACTGAGAGCAAACTGGTCATTAGCGAGAAGTTACCCTTTTTTGGCCTGTTGAAACCAAGTGAGAGCCAAGAGAGGAGGAAAACCCTCATTACCCAAAGCGACTGCTTACGTTAAAAAGAATAAGTAGATGCGTTTGACCACGTCCTTGCGGAGTCTGGCCCACTGCGTGCTGGAGGTGAAAACACTTGCAATGGGATTGTATAAGGAAGTAGTTGCTGTACATTGCCTGGCACACAATGCCTCCTCATCTCATGAAGTTAAAATTAGTGGAGCGGATTCAAGGTGTCATTGTGACGAGGGGATTCGGGGAACGACGTGGGTCAACGTTCCCAATTGCCCATTGTCACCAGTGGCGGCGGCGGCGGATTCGATGGAAATTTCCTCGCTCAAGATCTATGAGATCGAGATTGGAATCTCTCTCTTATAAAAATGGTCATCTTGACATATGGGCCCTCAGAGGAGTTTCCCATGTCACCAGCCGTCAGAATGTGTAACGGCCTCATTTGTCGCCACGGAACTGGTGTCGACACCTATTGAATTCAATATACTTCCAATGAAACTCGTCCTCGAGGACCGTTCAATGACAGAGAAAGACGACCGTGGAGGTGGAGAGACTCTGCAGAAGACCATGGAAATGACACTCCAACATGGGCATTGCCTTTAATCAAAACAATATGAGGCAAAACTCATAAACAAGAGGCTGGAGATGAATGAGGCACGTCTAGGTTAAATGCCTCCCCACAGGAAGAGACAGCTCATATTCGACCCTGAACGCTGGAAGTTTCCCTCCTCGGCTGTCAAGTGGAATATGGCGATCTCTTCCCTGATACCTCTAAACTGCCCCATTTGTAACAGGTTTTCCTCCCTGAATATTTGATGAGACCGTGAGCTTTCCCACGCCTTCAGGAGTCGCCAATGATCAGAATCCGTGATGACGCATGGAACTCCTCGTAATGGTGGCGGCATTCTTGCTTTACAAAGTCGTTCGGGATCGCAGACTCACAGCGCCACTGACGAAATTACTGCCAGTCCCAAAATCTGCCTGCTGAAGTCTCTTTCCATATTAGTAGGAAATGGAGGAAGAGGGTGAAACATTAAAGGTTGCGTTATTTGAGATGAGACTTATCATAACCGGACGCACCTTTAAAAGCCTCCATGTCCCCCATACCCTACCATATTTCAGCTTAAGAGGAGGAATTCACTTATGACAGGCATGTGAGACACGGTTTCTTGTCCTGGAAGTATAAATTTGCCTCTTTTTTTTCCTGGGTTTCGTCAAGACTTGAAATCCTTCGAAGGTCGAGATGGACACCCCAGACTCGATACGACGAACTCATTGCATTGGGACCAGGGAGGTATTTCCTAGATTGTCGCTTATCTCGAACAAGCGAGGAAAAGGCTCAGAAGCACTTGCTTCCTTGCCATCTAAGCGTTAAGAGACACTAAAGACCTCGTTTCTTGACGCCTGTTAATATCTGAAGAGATAATATCCAACTAAACGATCCTATTAAACGTGTGCAGTCTTGCACAAGTTTAGTGAACGTTAGCAGACAGACTGGCGAGTTGAACTTTTCAAGTCTGATTTTATTTTGGCGCACCTTGAAGAGCGCAGAAACACCCTTCGGCTCGCTCCCTGTTTTCGCCCGAAGCTACGAGTGATAATCAGGGTTAATAGAAGAGCATCAATAGGTTAAGACAGATGGAATATATCTTCGAGGTACAGTGTATTCACCATGGCACTCAGTGTTAAAACCGCGAGTTATATAGATTTCAGGGTTTGTATCATTATAGAGGTTACTTACAAAACCCGAAATAAATTCATTTTCCTTTGATATTAAAAGTTAGAGACATAAGATACCCGGCAACGTCAGGCAGTGATTCAGATATGTATGTGCAAGAGAGGCTGTGAGGCTTTTTGTCACCAATTTCGAAGCCATTCGTAATAATTGGATAACGTCATGTTTCAGGTTCGAATTGATGCTTATGGAGACGAAACTCTCGATCTTGAATGCGTCCAATGAGCGACCAAGTTGCATGCCAAATTCGGAGGTAAGAAAAAAATCAAGACCTTCCAGCCGGTTGAAACAGAAATCATTAGGAGAGGGCGCGAAGAAAAATGTTTTCCGACAAGTTCTCCAACTCACCAACTGACTAACATCTCCTCTTGAAACCAGCTGCCAGGCAATTGAATGTTACCTGTCTGAACAGCTCTCGAATTCTTAAAAATTTTTCTGGATTCCACGCCTTCCATGGACCTCATCCAACGGCGCCACTCCGTCTCTAAGCAAGCTCATGTCCTTAATTCCCCTTTGCATTTCACCCCTTGCACTTGCTATATTATTAACACTAAATCGCTTGATGGCTGGTATATCATAGGAAACCTCTCTCAATCCTTGACACATTCACGAATGAAGGATCTTATGTTGGTTAGTTCTAGCACGGAACAAAATGAAAATCCTCAGGACTTTAAAATTACTCTGAGTATTTTCTCTCGTGTCACGACTACCAACCTCTGAGAAGCCCAATGGTAGGCTTCCAGTTCCAGCCAATCATTAAAAAAAAAGAGAATCTCCAAAATGAAATACGAGCTTATTCGTTGTGTATGTCCTGACAGGGATTTCTAAGATTAAGGGATGATTTTTTTTTTCAAGTTTCACCACTTCTTTCCGACATATTGATCAGGTTGCATGTGTCGAGAGCACTCTGGGACGCTTCTCTTGTCGGAATGAAGATGAAGCGTTTTACTTCCGTATTTAAAAGTTAAAAAAGAGAGAGAAAGAAGAGGTGTAAATGCAATATAGGGGCTCATAAACCGCGGGAGATCGTTATCAAGATAATACACGAGCATATGGAGATTGAAAACAGCTACTTGACTGCTGATAGCCACTATTCAAGTTTCTATTAGCTGTGATACTTCACCCCCTTGCATGCATTGATATTATATCGTGACAAGTTAGCGCTCAGGACTTACGGAAAAGACTTTCCTCTAAATGGAAATTTTGAAGATGATAGTTCCAATTATCAGCTTCCCAATCTATTTCAAGTGACATTAGAACTAGTTCTTGTTGATAATTAGTCATTTCCGTTCTTTCACTTCCTCGGGTGTGCTCTTGATAGATTCCAGAACAAAGGAGAAAAAACACCTGCTGCTACAGTTGAAGAACCCGATTCGTCTGATGAACGAGAACCGAAGTACGGAGGGGGTTATTATAGTGCCGGCACGAAGCGAGGTTATATCGAAAAGGGGATTCCGACACGTGTTGGATGAGTAAGGTGTGTTCCTTATGAGCAATATGACAATGATTACCCTCGTGGCATTAGCCGCACTGACTGTTATGGATGAGGATCATCCATCTCGATAGTAATCGCTCATTGATAACCCCGCGTTAATAAGCACTTAATTTGAAGTCAGCTGAGCACTCCTCTCCTCCTCGCACGAGACTACCAGGAGGAACTTCGGGAAAATGAATGCGCGAATGATAGAATACCCTTGTGCTATTCCATAGAATACCCTCGTGCTATTCTCTGTCTGGCAGTTTTCACTCGTGCCGCTTCGAATGCCAACTTTTAATTCAACTTCCTAAAAGCCCATAGCATAGCATTCGCGATCTCTTCATTCCTGTGATTGTACAGTCAGTCACGTACGCAACGTGAGTTCAGTTTAAAAAATATGCATGTGGAATGAATAGATGACGAGCCTACAGAAACAAGAAGAAATTTCATAATTTTTCCTTTCCACCATAAAAGTGAAAGCGAAACGTCAAGGCAAATGAAAACGAGGAAAAAAATTCTTCATGCGTGGCGCAATCTTCTTTGGGCATGGGTATTCCTTTCCTAATAATAACTAATAAGGTAGTTATTTAACTATACCAGAGAAGAAATATGGGGGTCATGAGATCAAAATAAGTCCTCGGTTCATGAGTTCGGATCCGGATTGACGTTGGAAGTGATTTATGACTGTCGCACAAATGTTACCTCGAGATTACGAGGAAATGAAGTCTCGAATAAAAAAGATAGATCCCCAGGGCGGATGGTAACTTCAGGAATATTATTTACGATCATTGGAGAGACCTGAAGATCAAGCCAACTGATCCCTAACTGCAGCTATAAAAAGTAAACGACGATGAGAGACTTGAACAATTTTGCATCTTTTGATTGGAAAGGTTTTCCATCACGGTCTTTCGCGGACGCGTATCTCAACTGAGGCCATGACGCTCTACTATGGGACTCGGGAATATCTCTTTGGGTCGGCTACGGTCGAGGAATTGGACTATGTCGAAAGAACTCAAATCGAGCGTTTTGGTATTCCGCTACAACAAATGTAACCATAACGACACAGAACTCGCAAGAGTTTCGAATACCCTCTGTCTGTGATGCGGTAAGGGAAATGGAAAGAACAAGTCGAATCTCGCACTCACCGAGCATTTTGCTGAGATCTGCATTGTGCAAGTCGGGATTTTCATCTGCCAACTTCTTCCTCTCTACTTTGGCCCACACCATGAAGGCATTCATGGGTCGCCGAATCCTCTGCTCTTTGACAGGTTTCCCGTTGTTCGTGTTTGGAGGTTTCCCGCTTGTCATATCGGGGCTATGCATCCCGGGGATAGAGGTATTCCAACTCATAGCATTCATGGGGCTGAGCCCAAAATTCCCAGGGAACGAGGTCGGGGGCGGAGGTGTGAATCCAGGGCTTAGTCCACTCAGTCCAGGACTGTATCCTCCAGTGACTGGGGAATATTGCTGATGGATTCCGGTCGGAGGAGACGAGAAATCCACATTCATGAAATGGCCAGACAACTCCATCCCACCACATTGAAGAGGTCCCTGAGAACTTCCCATCGCGAACCTAGAACATTTTCCCAAATGCAATCATGAGACAATGCAACTGAGTTCGGGAAGACTCGCTACTTCGTATTTCATGTTTCTGTATGTATGTGTACATATATGATGACAAGTGTTGTTTTCTTCTGGTCTTTGAAGAGGAGCGCAAAACAATGTGAGCATGGGAGGACTAATGCCACCTATTGTTCTGGAAATGTATACATGCACCTACAAGAGGTCACCCCGCAGGGACTTCTCGCCATGGGGAACCTAACACATATGTAACCCTTCTCTCCACAATCCCTGGCTTTTTCAGTCCATTCGTAAGGATTTTGAACCTCCCACTGCCTCGGGCTCGATGTGCATTCATGAATCTATCAGAGCGACAGTATTTCAATTTTCAGCTGGATGATAAGCTGTGCCCCTGACCTTTTCGCAGAGGTGAAAAGTAAGGAAACCAGCGTATTACGGTGACCATGGGATTTCACGGGACAGCGAACTGGATAAGCTCATAAAGGCTGAGGCTAATCCCTGACATACCCTTGGCAACGAAAGCAGTTCTTTCCATACAGGAAGTAATCTTCGGAACATTAAACAAACGTGGAAAAGCAAGATTACACAGATGAATATTAAGGATCACTGGAAGTCTGATAGTGTCCAGTAAGTGTTCATTATTCTGGTCACCAATGCAAGAAAAACCGGCAGCCGAGAAGTGTTTCCGAAGTTCATGATCGGATAATGCACTTGTGCCCGAGTCAAAGAATTCAAAGAAGTGAAACCGGATTCAGTCCTCCCTTTCTCCGTACGCGGAGACACGTGCTGGAGACGCACACTGTCATAATCCTCGATGGGAATTTTGCCTCAGTTTAACTTGGCAGTTTATGGAGAGGAACGAGTAGTTCTCACAATGAAACTTACATAACGCAAGCAAAATAAGTCCTCGCAGCATAAATGCACCATTGCGTTCTTTGGCAACTCGAATAGTCTCCATTTCATTACGTACAAACGCCAAAACAAGCTAGAAAAGTAGTTTAAAAAAAAAACAGCTGCCCACTGCTTAAGCGAATAACCATACATGAAACTCACCAATGACAGCAAAATTTGGAGTAGGAAACGCGTGATCAGGTTGATGGTCCCGATATAGGTTCAGGAGCTACAAGGCAATAGAGTCACAGGAATGGCATCGCGATATCAATATCACAGCATGACCCTGCACAACAGCAAGATGAAAGATGCACACGAGGAGGGAGTCCGAGTCTGTCCTGCAGGGACATCCTCATCCCACACACCCAGTCACAGGTGTAGCCCGCTCCAGGCTCCTGTGCCGGCTACGGTCCGGCCCAAGCTCTCATATCGCCCTCCTCCTCTCTCTCTTTCTCTCTCTCTCTCTCCTCCCCCCTTCTCTCTCCCTCTTCCAGACTCCACACCCCTCCCCCCCCCTTCGTCCCTTCTCCGCACCACCTATCTCCAGTAACGAGTGATGCAAGTGAAATAGCGGATGCCCATTGGTAGCGGGTGGAGCAAGCCCGTCTCCATGGTTGAAAGAGCTTCTCGAAGAAAAATCAGCAGCACCATACCGTCTTCACCTCTTCGTATGCGCCACCCTCACCATTTAAGGTTTTTCGCTGCCAAGCGCTTTTAATTTGCCAGAGAAAACGACGCGCATTTTCGTGGAATATACGAAATGACAAGTGACTGGGCGATGCCAAGTCAGTTGGTGTTTCATGAATCCTTGATACTCGGCTCGGGCTTCCTTATCAACCCAAATCTCTTTCGATCTCACTGACCCAGTTCCTCGTTCCGAACTGATGCGTCGGATGAAGGTCTCATTTCTCGCCGAAACTCATCGGGTCATGGAAGATGAGACAGAGATGAAGCTCGAGCCGCCTGAAAACGTAACGCCATTATGTCCACATAAATATGTACCTCGACAGGAAATGGTCCAACAAATGAAACCTGGAGAGCGTGGAGCAGTCCATGAAAAAAGAGCAATTCCATGGACATCTCAACACGTTGATCAACCCGACTATAAGCGGCAGGCATTGTATTCTGACACATCGCAGGGGGATATTAATTTTTTTTTCCTTCCCGTTTCTCGAAGCGCAAGATGAAGAATGTTTAAAGCTTCTTTTACCTTAGTTTCCTTTATTTTCATCTTCAATGAAGAATCGAGGATTCACATTTAGGAGGTTGGTTTACTCTAATTTATTTTTACATCGGTCTTCCTTCGCCTGTGAACGATCCCAGCCAGCATCGAGACTGAAACACGAGCCGGCATGCCATCTCGGAAACACGAGTTCTCCTCGTGAGGTCATCATCCTGTGCACGAGTTTCTTATCGAATAAACAGAGCCGAAGATCCCGTCGTTTTCGCGCGCATTGGGGTCGCGAAGCTCAGCTAAAGGCCAATACCTTGACTGGTATTGCCAATGTGTATATGCCAATTCCTTAACTTAATTTTCTTCACCACATTCCGGAATGGGCGAGTATGTTCTATTGCAGAACTGCGAAGAGATCATCAATCCATGATTCTTATGCATTTTAACTGAGATGAGTTGCAATCGAAGACGCTTCAAGCTTTTAACATCGTGGGGTAATAGGAAACTCGATAGAATTTCAGAAAACAAAAACATTGTCCTTATTCTATTTTTCGCTTTTTCCTGAGGCTGAAGAGACCCTAAGACGCATTCTTACCGAGATGAGGTCTTCTCGACAGCGAAGATATTTTAGATCCTCCTTACGAGCCTCGATATCCAACGACGGTGACCGGATCGGCCCATTACCGCAGTGGCGACTTCGGAGAAAACGCCGCGGTGCGAGGGGCCTTCGTGTCGTCGCATTCGTCGCTGTCGTCGCATTCGTCGCAGTCGTCGCTGTCGTCGCTCGCTCATCGCGACGGGGTGAGCGTTCCTCTCTCCCGAACTTCTGTCGATCATCGAGGATTTGATGATTGGCAGATGATGAGGGACATTTTGGTAAAAATGCGACTCGTGTGGTCCATTCATGTGAAGGATTACGCGACTTCGGAAATGGGAAATTTTCATCCACACGTAGGGAAGAAACTGTTTCACCATTTCCTCGAAGTTCTGAAACTTGACGAGGATAACGATGAAAGTCGACCGAAATTGGATTTCATCCCGCAATTTTTCTAGAGAATCCAAGCCGTACACCTTGTTAAATCACGATAATTTAATTTGTTTCAGGATATTTCCACGAGGAAAGAATTTAAAACCATTAAGGCACGAAATTATAGATGTTTCCAAAATATTCCCTAAAACGGAACAAAGCTATCGTCATTTCTGATCTGGAACATCATCACCGCGTTTGGCGCGGTTTGGCGCAATCGCCACTCCAGGTATAATTTCTGTCATTGGACTGTCTGTTAAAGGAATAAATAGCCTAATAGTAAAACGATGAATATTTGAGTGTCAGAGAGAAAGAGAGAAAGAGAGAGAGAATAATAAAAAGTAATAAAATAATAAGTGGTAGTTAAGGGTACCGTAATCGATAGTTGGATGAAGCTTGAATGCAGACATTTCCACTCGTGGAATTCTCTACTGGGACAACAAGACCCGAGGAAAAAAAAATTTTTTGAAAAACGGTCGGGAGTCTCGGGTGGTTTTGGCGTATGCTCAACCGAAAAACCCTCGGGAATCCCAGGATTGTCGAGGAAAACGGAAACGCGGAAAAACGTCCCTCCACGTGCATTTGCCTTTCACAATGGTCGGTGGATCCCTCGCCTCGAAACGATTGCAGAAGTCCCGCTAAATTAAGCGAGATTCCCTATCTTTTCCAGGTAGATTTGTATCTCCGCGAACGTCCACGCCGTGCCTGGTGCTCGGGACGGCTACAATGCTGTAATTATTTTTTCTTTCGGCATTTTTTTTTTTTCCCTTCTGAATTGACGAATATTTTTCATCTCTGGATTTTAATATCTGATGCGAGAGAGTGAGAACCCGGAAACCCAATTTCCACGCTCGTCTTGTCGCCCCTAACTTTAAATCAATCTGGGGACAGGTCCCTTTCCCACGATTTCCATTTGTCGGCTTAATGAGACTCTCTCTCGTATTCCAAAAAAAAAAAAAAAAGCCGAAGG